TTCATCTAGAGCTTGCGTATTTCGGAGCCCTAGGAACCTACTTGGCTGAATCAGGGATAGAATATCTCCTCACCGAGGCTGGTGTCCTGGCCGAAGGATCCCTTGCTGGTTTCATGAAGGGCAAGTTCTACAACAGGTGTACGAGACTCCATCAAGTTCTGGCTGCTGTGATGGAACAATCATTGCTGTCCAGATACATAGAAACATTGGAAGACGCAGACCGATCTCTGGTAAATGATGTGGTATCTGACAGTGACACCAGCGTCGAACACTGCCAACTTCTTGCAGACAATGCTGCACTGAATGATCTCCAAGAGAAATACGAGCGCTTCTTTCAGGATGTCATTGCTGGAAAGCATGGAGGCACAGCAGCATATTGGGCCATCTATGTCTACCTCATCAATAGAGTGTATCGAGATCTTCAGCGCGCCGTACGGACGAATGATGTTGATAGATACATCCAGATCCTCCCAGAGGTGATCGACGTGTTCTTTGCTTTGAACCGGCCAAATTATGCAAGATGGGGATCCCTTTTTCTCAACAAGCTTCAGAATATGGATCCCAAAGCACGCGAGATTCTAGAGGCAGGAGGCATGTCCATTCGGCGCACGAAGAAATCCTATTCAAGATGCGCAGTTGACTTGACCTTGGAGCAGACCGTAAACAGGGATGCTTCTTCTCCCACGAAAGGCATAGCAACTTTCACTAATTCACACAGTGCTTTCAGAAGATGGGCTATTACTCTCTCACAACGAAGTATGGCACTTACAGCACTTCGTGAACTGGTCAGTCTTCACCAAGGGGAAGAATCAATGAATCAGCTGACAAAACGGAGAATCGAACGGGATGATGCTGACAAGAAAGCTATAACACATACATTGACCAACACATGCAACCCATTTTCCACTGGCTCTCCTGCTGAGCTCATCAATGTTTCATCAGGAAGAACTGCAAAGGATGCAACGAGTGCATTTCTCCTTTCAACACTTGAACGAGGAAAACATCTTCGACTCGCCTTTCAAGATGAATGTGCAGCTGATACTTCACGGTTTCTGAAGCCAGTAACACGGATCAAGATGTTAAACTTCGCAGCAGAAAACGCCAAGAGATCCAAGACGGCAGTACGGAGAGTGAACGCAGCTGAGGGAGCCAGGGATGTCTTTGGGCGAATGTTAGCTGTTGCCGCTGATTCAACTGATGCACTTGACCTACAGCACATTCTCAGCTTCCCACTCACAGAAGTGCCTCTTTCACTTGCCCATAGTGATGGGACTCCCCTAAAGACGGAGAAGGCAGCTTTGACAAGAAAACTTGAATGCAAACAGGAAGCAGCGCTGTTGCCTACAAATCTCCCCGTGATCTCAGCTAGTGTGATTGATGGTGGTATCATCATTCATGAAACCGTTCTCCAACATAGCAAATCAACATACGGAATCATGGCCAAGGATCTTCTGGAAAGGGTTTGTTCGAGTCGCGGAGAGCAAATACACCTAGTGCTAGACAAGTACCAGTCACCTTCCATCAAAGACCCAGAGCGAAATCTACGTCAATCTACCTCTCAGCTATTCATCATAACTGGACCTGATCAGGCCCAGCGTCAGAGTGGCATAGAATTACTCAGGAGTAGTTCATTCAAGGAAGAATTCGCCAAGTTTGTTATGGAAGAATGGAGGAAGCCAGAGTACGCAGCAATAGTCGGGAGAAAAACGCTGTATGTGTCCCACGGCGGAGCTTGTATTGAACTGAAAAGTAATGGGGACAATCAACTTGAGATAGATCAGCCAAGTTCCTTCCAATGTCACCACGAAGAGGCGGATACTCTCATAGCTTTCCATGCAAGGGAGATTTCAGACGGCAACATCCTTGTCAGGTCGAGTGATACAGACGTCTTTATTATCCTGCTTGGGCTCTGTGGGAGGTCAACAGGGATGAACATCATAATGGACTATGGTTCTGGCAATAACAGGAGATACATTGATGTCTCAAATGTAGCTGCCCTTCAAGAAAATAAACAACCCGGTTCAACAGAAGCACTGATCGGTCTCCATGCCCTGACTGGATGTGACTTTACCTCGTGTTTCTTCAGAAAGGGGAAGATGAAGCCCCTACAAAAGATGGAAGCCAGTACCACCCACATGCAAGCGCTTCGATCACTAACAAGCGAGGAGGTTGATGTCCCAGCTATTACATCTTTCGTTTGCTCGTTATATGGCTGTGTAACATCCGACATAAACGAGGCCAGATGCAAAGCTTTCAAACGGATAAGCAGCGGAGGTGAGAAGGGCCCTCTTGCAAAGTTGAAGAAAATAAACTGTTCTTCTCTCCCCCCATGTGCAAAGACACTTGGTAACCATATCAAAAGAGCCCACTATGTTGCCAGAATGTGGAAGAGGGCTGACCAGGCGGAGCCAACCGGTGGATCCCGTCCTTTGGACTTTGGCTGGAAATCAACTAACAACTGCTTCGAACCAGAGTGGTACCCAGGAAGTGCAGTCCCAGAGTCTCTCACAGGTTCACCTACCACACCTACAGAAGATGATGACAGCGTCCAGGATGAGGAGGAATCAGACGATGCTTGGAGTGAGGAAAGTGATGAGAGCGATGTCGGAGTCAGCGATGAAGAAGACTCGTAATGCAAGATGCTATCCGTGAAACATGTCATTGCACATCTCAAATTTGATACATATGTTTTAAATTCATGACGAAGCATTTCTGACACATGTATAGGCCTGGTGAATAGAAATTACACAACTGTTCACAAAAAAAAGTGATGAAGATGATGATCATTGTTCCAAATTTACAAATTTTAGCTTGAAGGACTGGCATAATATTGAGGGTCTTCCTTATTCTCATAGGGCCAACTTGTGTCCAATGCTTCTACCTTATCTTCTGGAATTATGAGGTAACATAAATAAAACAAATTCTTTACTATTTTTTATACATGTGGTATACCTATACAGCATGAGTCAGAAAAAAAAATCCCACATTTTTTGAAATAATACTGAATTGAAATAGTAAAAAAAAAACTTACTCACTCTGTATAATGGAGGATGTAAAAAGAAATAGGTCCATAACACCATATTACAATTAAAGTGAGGATTACACGTACATGGGTGAAATAGAATGGAAAAGTGTTAAGATGAATAGGATTTTTTTAAACAGTTTGCACTGCTCTTCCACAACATTCTGTTTTGAATCGCTACAGTAAAAGAAAATACAAAGAGGCATACCCATTATATCTGAATAAATATCTTCTTGGGTTAAACGAATATATTTGACTTTTATCTAGAAAAGTATAATATCAGTCATAGTGGATGTATGAGGAAGAATGACAGAGATGGTTGGGTAGCACATGAAGGGATATCGAGACCGAAATTGAGATCTATAAAGAGAGAGAGAGAGAGAGAGAGAGAGAGAGAGATAGTGGAAGGGAAAGGGGATAGAGAAGTGTGAGATAGAAAGAAAGAGAGAGAGAGAAGGGGTGGTGTTGTACGAGGAGATATAGAAAACAAGGGAAGAGATATATATACACTTGGTGAATGCTATCCTTATATATATATATATATATATATATACATGTATATAAAGGAGAAAGAGAAAGAGAGAGGGAGAGATAGGGGAGAAAGAGATGAAGTTATGAGAAAGAGAGAGAGCTTGTGTAATAAGAGAGTGAATAGTGACAGACATACCACAAAATACATTACTACATATCAGAGACACGAGATATTAGAGTATTGATACAAAATGTGCGAGGGAGAGAGGGAGAGAGAGAGAGAGGTTGATGTAATGGAAGAGAGATAGAGTGAGGTGTAGGGAGGGAGGGGGGAGGGGGATGGGGTTGAAGAGTATGTGTAAATATTATTAGTATCAATCAGTTCAGTATGATATTTTCCCCGTACAGCGCTTGTTTAAAATACCTGTTCTAATATGTCACCCCAAAACTCGAATTTTTGACCGATTTTCCTGAAAACCATGTTACTTAAATGGTCAGAAAACAACCTAAATATGCAGATATGTTTAACATCCATATATGTTCTGAAAAGCAAAGAACTTGCTCCATATGTAGGTCAAGTTCAAGAGCTATCGGGTAATTGAAAAGCTATTTAAAGTAAACTTCAATATTTGAATCCGAAATTGAGTAAAAAATCGGACAAATTGGCCCGATGTCGACGACGTCGCTACTTAAGGCTATCGTCGTAATCATCGATTTCGGGGATGCAAACACCGGGAAAACTCTTTGTGGTGTATTGTATACTATCGGCTAGTTGAGTTATAACAAAAAAATCACCAAAAAAAACCTAAAAATAGGTAGGGGACATGTTTTATGGGATGGTGTCATGTGTACCTCTCTGTACATTGTCAAAAATGGAACTTCCGGTAGTGACGTCACAAATTGTGTGATTTTGGCGGGAAGACCATAGCTCAGACCCGGCAGCAATCCATTTTCGTGAGGTCTAGGGTCTACCCCATCAGCCTATGGGGTCAGTTGTTCCGGCGCTTTTCCCTTGAATAAATCTTCTGGGCTGCCGGACTATATATACAGGACGGGTTAAACCGTTAACCACTGGATTCTGTTTTCGATTATTTCTGCCTCTGACATGGCCAACTTTATGAAGGTTGTATTCCCCGGTAATACAAGGTTACAGAGCGTTTTGATATACAAAGGATCCTGCAGCACAGTGATTGTGATGGTCCATCATCTTTATTTCATTATGGGCAGCGTTTCACAAAACAGTCATAAGTACATGTTCATCGACATCCCATAGAAATATGTGTAGAAATTGTAACGCACGTTTCAATAGGATGTTGGTGAAATTGTACTTGAGACGGTTGTATGAAAGGATGCCCTGATGACTTATTTAAAGGTAATGCAAGGTTTTGGGAAATTATTGAAAATTGGATGAATAGTAATTCTTTAAAATTTTGATATATTTGGATGCCCCTGTGGATGTATTATGAGCACGAGAAAATATTTTGTTTACAAATGAAATGTAATCAATTTAATCAATTTAAATGGGAAGTCCATCATCTCTCGAAAAGGACCTTGTAAGATACGTCACAGACTTGCCAATTTTCTTTGATCCAACATTCCAACTTAAAAATTCATACCTTTCTTATTTTTCATCAGATTTTGCTCCAAATTCCACTGATCTCTAGCTCTCATTTTCCTGCTTTCATTGAAAACCAACGAAAAGTCAGTGTCGACTTTTCCCTTTAACCGGGTTATTTTCACTAATCTCAGAACTTTCAATAAGCAAATTTGATCCATGATGCTAATGATACTGAATATGTTTGTGCGCATCTTAAAGACCGTCGACACTACTGGGCAAGAAGGGATAAGACCACACAGCGAGGTCACTGACAGGTGGCCATCTCATTAACTCAGCTCTCAACTAACATAAGAAAAAGAGGATCATGGGGGACCAACAGGCACCGATTGGGGAAGTTTCCTATATAGAGGGAGCAAGTAGCTACAAGTAGGACAGTGGGGCTTTAAGCTGCCTAGGGCTAGCTGATTACTATACACAATATAGAGAACTCCACACATTGTGGGTGGTGGGTACATATGGTAACCAGCTGGCCCTGCGCAGCTAAGGTGCCCAAGAACACTACTGCAGAACGTCTCTAAGTGTAAAATTTTTGAGCGTCATGTAACGCCTGGCTGGAATGCTCCCCAGGGAGTGGAGATTGTGCACACATTGTATGCGGGCAAGCACTGAATCCAATGACCAGGGTAAAAGTATATTTTGTAAAGCGCGTAGAGACATTTGAATTAAGCGCTTTATTAAAAAAAAAACAATAATAATAACAATAATAATAATGAGTACGAGTACAAACTTCTGCACAAATTCTTGTCATCTTAATATTCACTTTATATTGTTTCTAGCGGTTTGTTCAGTTCCCTTGTAAAGCCCGTGTGTGCCAGCATGGCGTACTAGGTAAACATTGAGCGAGAACGTCCTCCCGCATATTTCACATCTGAAAAGCTTCTCACCCAGAACGTCTCTAAGTGTAAAATAATACCAGTACCAGTGGAAACTTCTGCACAGATTCTAGTCACCTTAATATTCACTTTTCATTGGTACTATCGGTTTGTTCAGTTCCTTTGTAAAGCCTGTGTGTGACAGCATGGCGCACTAGGTAAACGTTGAGCGAAAACGTCCTCCCGCATATTTCACAAGCGAAAGGTTTCTCACCCGTGTGTCTCACCATATGGGTCTGGAGGCCATGCTTGGAAGTGAAGGTTCTTTGACAAAGCTCGCACGTGAAGTTTCTCACCCCTCGATGGCACCGCTCATGCTTCTTCAACGAGTGTAGTTCCAAGAACTTCTTGCCACATACCGTGCACTCGTTCTTCTTGACATGATCCCTGTGCATCCTGTAGTTGTGCTCTGAGAGTCTCCTGGCCGTCCGGAACCACTTGAAGCATGGCTCGCATTTAAAGGGTTTGGTGCCTGTATGGTCCTCTTTGTGGTTGTTCTGTGCCTTCAACGAGCTGAAGGTCCGCGGGCATTGCTCACACTTGTAGGGACGGGAATCGACTTGCAGCACCAGATTTTTTTTTCTGTGGAACCGGCGAATGTGATGCAACAGGTCACATTTTTTGGCATAGCTCCTGTGACAGGTTTTGTACTTGCATTGAAAAGGACGTGGTGTTTCATAATACCCAAACCTCCTTCCCAATCTATCTGACTCTTCTTGGGTATACCCGACTTTTTGTTCAGGTCTCCTCAGCTGTAAGTCAGATGTGGAAGCATTATGGTGATCTTCAATTCTAGTGGCACTGTCCACACTAGAATCTTCCTCTTGATCACATCCAGGATCTTCCTCCTCACTTATCCAACCTCCATTTTCATCATCCATTCCAGAATGACGAGGCTCACAATGATCAGGCTCCTCTTCATCAGAGGCAACATCCTCGACCTGATAATCAGTGGAACCCTGCGGATGACTTTTCATAGCCCTCGACCTCTCCTCTGCTTCTGACTCTTCTCTCCTCCATTGCTCATCATCTCTCTTCCGCAGTGTGCAGACAGTCCGGTGCGCAACCATCTTCATTTTACCATGCACTAGTTGTCTGCAAAGCCGACAAGTGTAATTTTCCCGACGCCCCTGGATATGGTGGGCATTGGTTAGATGCCGTGTGTAACTGGACGTGTAACGGTACTTGTTCTCGCAGAGGAAGCAGCTGTGCAAGCGCTCTGCATGGCCATTTCGATGCCTGATGTGCTCTTGGAACGACTTGCAGACCAGGCCACAAACTTCGCACTTAAACTCCTTGATTTGTGTTCGGTGGAAGAGCCGGTGGGAGTCCAACAAGCCCTCGTGGTTGAAACTCTTACCACAGGTGGGGCATACGTGGTCCCCACTACTTGGTGCAGGAGCCACTCGTCTAGGCAACACAGCAGCTTGCTTGCTGGTGCTAGTTCTTTTTGGAAGTGCCTGAGGTCCGTTGGTACTTCTTGAGGGATGCACATTGCTCTGGGGTAGAGTGCCTCCGGAGAGTCTCTCAACGTTCCGGACAGCGCCACCTTTATCGATCAAACTACTCTTGGAGGCAGCTCTTTCACGTGGCTGAGGTTCGTTGGTACTTCTTGAGGGATGCACATTGCCATGGGGTAGAGTGCCTCCGGAGAGTCTCTCAACGTTCCGGACAACGCCACCTTTATCAATCAAACCACTCTTGGAGGCGGCTCCCTCACGTGTCCTTCGGACGACATCCTTTTTGTGGCAAACCTCCCTGGCAAAATGAGCAAGTTGATCAGAAGCAGTGCCGGTGGCGCCCTTGGCAGAATGACTAGAAGCAATATACTGTGGAGGCCGTTGCTTGGACGGTCCTTCCTTATGCTCATGAGTGAACATGATGTGTCTCAGCATGCTCTTTGAGGTCTTGCACCTGGCTTTGCACACCTTGCACTCAAAGTCATCAGTATCTGGAAAGGGAGGGATACCACACCATGATTAGGCAATAAATGGTTGTCCTGAGTTCATGAAATGCAAGTTAAAAGTCAGTTTGAAGAAACGTCGTGATCTTTTAGATCTCTTATTGACCACATTGCGAGACAAACAAATATCACTAGCGATATTATTTTCGATACTACATCCGCGATGAGTAATATATTTAGCATTAAGATGTCATTTGTTGATAATTCAAAGTACACATCAAATGCGTTGTATGGACCAAAAATTCCTAGATCTCTAACTAGCTAGATCAACAAATATGAATCCAACATAAACAAATAAAGTGTTTGGTTTCAATTTCTAAAATACATCTTCTTCTTTTTCCTACCTTTTTGATAGTTCAGCTCCGACAATGCCATGTTGAATCCTATCTTCTTTCTGTATTCATCAGAGTAGAAGACCTTGAGTTCCGTACCGGGTTGGACGTTGTCCAGGGCTCTGAAGTAGATATCCCCATAGTGCTGGAAGGCCTCTAGGTTCTGTTCTTCTCTGGTCCTTGCAGGGTTGATGTGGTACAACCAGTTGTTGTGGATCTTGTTCTTACCGTCCAGGTAGAACCACACGACTCCTCGAAGGCACAGCTGCAAATAATCCAAAGGGAACTTATAATGTACAATACTCAAAGAACTACTCATATAAAAGTGGATGAACCAGGGAAAAAATTAATATTTATTTTACGGGGGCTACCTTTTAAGCTTGCCTGCATAAAAATAACACTCTAAAATTTGTTTTGCATTGAACTCTATGCAAATTTTCGGGGGCTCTTTTGGGTATTTCGGGGGCAAATTTGCCCTGAGCCCCCGTGTATTTATTTCACTGGGATGAACTCAGCAGGTTCTTGCTGTGAAATCCTAACCCCTAAAGTTAAGCCTAATTTAACCTTAACTACTTGGTGGAGTATTATGCACAGTGAGGTATTTTATGCACCTGAGTGGAGAGTGGCAAATGTAGATTAATGTCTTGCCAAAAGACATTAGTGCTATGCCTGGAGTCGAATCGCAATCCATTTGATAAACAGATCAGCGATGTATCCACTACAACACTTCTACCATAACCTAAATGTTTACCATAAAACCTTACCCTTAAACTTAAAAGATAAAGTTAAGTTCTGGTCATGCGATTGCATTGTGAAAGAAACATTGTGGAATCGATTAGAAAAGGTTAATCATCTAGCATATAAGTTTGGGTGTGTACTGCAAGGTTTTAAAATCAGTTCAGCTCAAAAAGGTACTATATCCATTCAAGTTATGCATTGTAACTTGCAAACAGTTTGCAAAATTTTCGGTTCCAAAAAGTACTACATCCAATTTCAGTTCCAAAAGGTACTACATCCAATTTCAGTTCCAAAAGGTACTACATCCACAAATTTTTTTAAAAACCTAACCATTATGAGCCAGAGCAAATAACACTGAGTTCCTATAGGAAATAAATTTATTCAGATGGTCATTTATCAGCCAATACTTAACATATTCAATTGGTTTTCGACATTTGGACATTATTTTTTATCCTGTTTCGGAAAATGAAGAAAAAATTGAGAAATTCTAAAAATAGATTTTTGATGACGTCACACTTCACCATTCTATTAAGCAGCCAATCGATAGCGTGCTCGCGTGTACAAAGCACTATAACGGTAGCGTGCATGCGGCGTTATGGTAGGATATGAGTTAACTAACCTCCCATGTAGAACCTATATGTTTTCCTGCTGTCTCATTCAGAAGGGATCCGTTATAGGGGCCAAAGCACTGCCCCTTGTCGATGACCCGCCCGGTGTGGACTCCAGTGATGCGGCCGCCTCCTGCAGCAAACTTGTAGCTGAAGCCCTGGGGAAGATTGGCGGAGATGACCGGCTTCGGAATCGGCGGCTGAAGAGTACTACTGTTTCAAAGTAAAATAATAACCAAGGGCAGTGTATAATTTTGCTTACTGGAAAAGAGTCAAACAACTTTTAAAAATGCTCTTAAAGATACTATTTTCCTTTTGCAGCCAACATCAAATTCTGTTGAGCTTTGCAGGAATTATGAATATGCCAAGTATGTCCTTTCTCTGAAATAACATTAGCAGTGTCCTAGTATTCAAATTATGCAAGGAAACCTGTTTACCTTTTAGACTTCACTGTCAGACACCATTGAGTGACTGACATCTTTTTTTCTTTTGTGATAACATACATAAAATGAGCTGTAACAGGTACATGATCATTTGTCTTCATCAATAACCCACTACTTGAAATGGCCAAAATTAAACTGATTGAATCTTTTTGTGCGGCACCAAACATAATTATGACCATTCGGTAAAAGCGTCTAAAAATCAGACAATTACTTAGGTGATTGCAATCACTTAAGTCGATTCCACAACTATAATAAAATGGTCGTTATTTTCTCACTAAAAGCCATTTCCAAGCCCTTTTGTTTTGAGGGAAGTTCTAAATTAGTATTGTGTTTCAAATGCTGTTGGAATTTAACCTTTTCCATTTTTTGGCCTGCAAATGGGACATACAGTAGTACCTTTAATGGGCAAATCCGAACCATTTGTGAAGTTGAATTGAATAGAGAAAATTTAAACAAACTTAGCGGTGATAGTTTCATCAAAATCGAAAGAAAATTGAGAAAGTTATGGGATTTTAAAGATTTGCATACATGTACCAGTAATTTCATGGAACAGTGATATGTACAGTATCACATACATGTATGGGTAATTCCATACATTAGTGACCCACTTTGTGACATTTTTGGTGTCCCTGTTACATAAGGAACCCTCACGTATTTGTGGCTCTGAGTAAAGACTTAAATCGTGGAGTATGATTGTTAAGTGATTCTAGGTATTAAGCTTGGAAATCACTTTACAATCTCACTTCAACAGTTTTCATAACACTACAGTCTATTGGGGGAAAGGAGTATGGTGAGTTAAAGGGAGTGGATCACCAGTTTCCATGTGCAGAAGGCCATAATTCGCTGACACCAGACTTGGTGGAAATACCATTAATGGGGATACAAATTTGCTCACAGCAAACCCATAGTCCAGTCAAGAATTACCCCCTAATCTCTCGGAGAGCTGAGAGTCTTCGGGCAAATCAAAGCATTACAATAAGGTCCAATGGTCATAAAACTCAAGGCTAACCCTGGTGATTGACAACACCTGTTATTGGGTAAACACCCGAACGGTGTCGAATTCTCCATGAGAGCCGACTACTGAGTGAATTTAATTAACACTGGGGTGATCCTTGTACTGGATTGAAACTATCACGATATGGAGGGCAAGTAGTTGCACCGTATGCCATAAAGTTCAGCAATTGTGAAGAAATGTTTACTCTACCTGGGTGCAATGGCATTGTGGGATTGCTTCTCAGATAAAGGTCGTCTCTGGGTCATGTATGGGTAGGAGTCATCATCAGAGGGGGTAGGTGATACAGATTGTATCCCTTGGACTGTAAAAAGAAAGAAGCAACAACAACAACAAAAATCAATGGAGTAAAAATACTAGTATTTTCAAAAATATACAATTATACTGTAAACGATGATGATAATGGTGATGACAATAGTAACATTATAATAATAATAGCAATTATATATTAAATGACACTACTACTACTGCTCTACTTTCTACTACTAATTCTACTAATACTGCTATTGCTACACTATTACTACTACTACTACAACAACTACTAGCACTACTACTTAAGATGATGATGATAGTACTAGTTACGTTTACATTGTGCTCATGTTCCATGCTAGAAGATGCTTTCAAAGTGTAACATCCCTGGCTTAAGCCAACCTGTCTTTTAAAGCCTATCTGCACTAGTTTGGCCAAGAGGGAAAAGACCTCCCTGCGTGGTCACTGGCAGGTGGTTTTCTCATCATATCAGCTCTCAATTAACAGAAGAAAAAGGGGACCATGGGGCATCACTGGGAACCACTTAGGCATTGTTGGCTATATAGAGGGAGCAAGTAGCTACAAGTAGTACAGTTGGGTTTTAAAGCCTATCTGCGCTAGTTTGGCCAGGAGGGAAAAGACCTCCCTGCGTGGTCACGGACAGGTGGTTTTCTCATCATATCAGCTCTCAATTAACATAAGAAAAAGGGGACCTTGGGGCATTAACGGGTACCACTTAGGCATTGTTGGCTGTATAGAGGGCGCAAGTAGCTACAAGTTGTGCAGTCCCGCTTTGAGGCACTGAAACAATTACTTCCTATACGGTCTCAACTTTGGAAATTTGGTTGAGTGACAAAATGTAGATACAGTACTTCACTCTAAATTGACAGCATCGATGCAGCTAGACAGAAATAGCAAACAACAGCTGTGGAACATCGGCAATTTGAGAGAAGAACTGATTCCCCGTCACACCCCAGGCCCCCCCCCCCCCCACTCAGTGTTATTTAGGGTACGCATACATGTATGCTTGTTCCCTTTTTTTGAAAGCACCCCCTTTCTGAGGACTGCCAACATTTCCGAACCCCTCTTTCGCGGGCATTTTGCGGGCTTTTCCTGCCTTGGAGACCTCCTAAATCATGAGAAATGCTCAATGTACCCCCCTAAATTTGGAATCATTTTTCAGGAGTCCAAAGAGATGAGAGAAAAAAAGAAAAACACACCCTTTTTAGAGAAATCTCCGGGTGAAAAGTTAATACACCCCTTTTTTTACAATCCTCGGGCCAGACTTTGTCGCACGAAAAGTACCCCTTTACCGGACATTTTGGTAACACGCATGGGGTCCGTCTGTTCTCAGAGTGGAGGCCGGGGTCACACCACAACGACACTGAACAAATTGTTACATCACATCGACAGGTCAAACGTCAATTGATTCTAAATCAGTTTAAAGTCAATTTTACAGTGTGACCGAGGTATGCCATGCAATCTATGTTGATAAAAGCCCAATAATAAAAAAAGGAAGAAGGGATGCACTACTATAAATTGATGGGAATGATTCACACGAAACTAGGCGTTGTGGCGTGCGCCTCTAACGATGGAAGTTACAGACTGATTCAGCCTAGGACGCAGGTTCGAAACTGAGTCACGTCTTTCGGATGGTGACGCTTTAAAGGTCGGTTCCCAGACGCAAATAATCATATCTGATTGATACACGTCTGTAAAAACCAAATGCACACCCACATGAACATGCAACATGGGTTACCTTGCATTACATTCTTAGGATGTCATTGACGTCTTCTTGATCATCATCTTCCTCTCCCTCTTCTTCTTCCTCTTCCTTCTCCCCCTCCTCCCTCTCCTCCTCATCCTTCTCCCCCACCTTCTCCTTCTCAAAAAAGGCCAATAATCAAAAGAGAAGAAGGGATACACTCACATAAATTTATAGGAATGATTCACACGAACATATGTTACCTTGCATTACATTTCTTAGGATGTCATTGACATCTTCTTGGTCATCATCGCCCTCTCCCTTTTCCTCTTCCTCTTTTTTCTGCCCTTCCTCTTTTTTCTCCCTCTTCTCTTCTTTCTTCCCCTCCCCCCTCTCCTCCTCATCCTTCTCCCCACCCTCTCCTTCTCAGAAAAGGCCAATAATCAAAAGAGAAGAAGGGATACACTCACATAAATTTATGGGAATGATTCACACGTGGGTTACCTTGCATTACATTTCTTAGGATGTCATCGACATCTTCTTGGTCATCATCCCCCTCTTCCCCTTCCTCTTCTTTCCCCCTCATGGTCATCTCCTCCTCCTTCTCCCCCTCCATCTCCTGCTCATAGAACGGCAGCACATTAAGACGAGAGAGGCTGGCTTCCCCGCTATGAACCAGGTTGTCCATGAGGTCTTCCGAAGTGGTACCACCCGGTATGGCGAAGACATCGTTGGTTACACCTGGTCCTCCCGAGTGGATCACTATGTATTGGTCCTGTTCCTGGTCTTGTACCTGTGATTGCTGGCCCAGGTTCTGGTTAGGATGGACCCAGTCGTTGTAGTCCATTTTTCCTCAAATCTATCGTAAGAAAATCACAAATACATGAATCTATAAAACAAGTTTTGAGGAGCAACATCAGACACTGACTAAAGATCTGATTATTTCAAATTAAAGGAAACCAAAACCTTCATACTAAGTTACTTTTAAAGTAAAGTTTAAGATATTTGAAAAATATCAGTGAAAATTTGAACAAAATCGGGCAAGGAATAAGGAAGTAAGAGCTTTTTGAAATTACTAGTCACTAGAGGGCGGTATTCAATTTGATGTCATCATCTGTGGACAACTCTCCATGCCTTTTGTACATAAAATTTCATGTTTTTCCTTCTGTCTTGTGATTGAGATAATGTACTCCCCTGAAAGCAAGATATAGGCTGCAAAATGATATTCTACTTCACATGTTATGAAGTCGGATCAAGAACACAAATAAATACGAAGAAAACAACAAAATTGTGAATTTTTATGTACAAAATGCATGGAGAATTGTTCACAGATGATGTCATCAAATTGAATACCGCCCTCTAGTGACTAGTCATTTCAAAAAGCTCTAACTTTCTTATTCCTTGCCCGATTTTCTTCAAATTTTCACCGATTTTATTCAAATCTTTTAAACTTTACAATAAAAGTAACTTAGTATGAAAGTTTTGGTTTCCCTTTAAACATGATATTTGTAGTCACATTTGTATAGCGCTCCTTACTACCTTTTAATCGCTTCACATTGTAATTATTATCCTGATCAGTGGACTTGCACACCATAGTGGACACGTTCCGCTTCCTTTGGGAGTTAATGTCGTTCCTCTCCTGAGCCCTCAATTACCAACTATTTGATTCACCTCCTATCACATCCACATTGATGAAATTCACGGTGCATGCATGATTATTCAATTTTTTTCGAAAGCAGAAGTTTTTAAGTTAGCTTAAAGGTACTATGTCTCATTTGCAGGCCAAAAAAATGAAAAGGTTAAATTCCAACAGCATTTGAAAGATAATACTAATTTAGAACTTCCCTAAAAAAGGTGGGGCTTGAAAATGTCTTCAAGTGGGAAAATAACGACTATTACTTGTCAAATCGACTTAGGAGCTATAGAGCCAATAAGTAATAGTCTTGATTTTCAGACCATTAAATACCGAATGTTCATACGTTTTATGCTGGGCAAAGATTCAATCAGTTTAATTTTGACCATCACAAGAAGTGGGTTATTGACGTAGACAAATGCTCATGTACCCTTTACAGCTCATGTTACATGTATGTATGTTATTACCAAAGAGGAAGAAAAGGCCAGTCCGTCACTCAATAGTGTCTGGCAGTGAAGTCTAGCAAGTAAACAGGTTTCCTTGCATAATTTGAATATTAGGACACTGCTAACGTTTAAACTTCACAGATATCATAGGACATACATGACATATTCATAATTCCTGCAAAGTTCTACAGAATTTGAGGTGGGTCGCAAAAGGGACATAGTACCTTTAAGGGGCTAAATTTTCTACTGCTTATAAATACATTCACAGGGGCAAAGAAGCAAAGTTTTCTGTGATTTTTGTTCTTTCTGCTCATGAATAATGATTAATTCCTAGAATTCTGAATTAAAAGAGATCATACAAACACATCTAACACTAACAGGAGCTAGACGATTGATGTACTGCTCAATACATGCAGGCTCTGACTTGACTTGACATTTCATGAATAAACTTCTAAAATAAAACTAAGCTAAGGACTTAAGGTCAAGTAACGTATTAACGCGATCACATGCATTCAGAAATTAGAGGTAAGCTACGTCTTTCGGATAGTGGCGCTAAGGTCAGTCCCCAGGCCCAGATCTAAATAATCATATGTCATTGATTTTTTTTTTTAAATCTCCTTATAATTCAATTCCTCTCTTATTCTGACGTCTAACGCAAAATACACTCCCAAATTTTAGGTACCGGTATGTTACAATGTGTGCGCTTTCCCCATGAAGGTTTCTGCCATGGGGCTGTTACCGGTATGCACTATTGGAGACCATTTGGATAGCCTACGCAAATGTGATATTTTGATTAGCTGGTTAGATTTTTACTTCATGATTTCTATTGGATGAGAAGAATGAAACTGTTATCCTTCATTTCATACTAAACTTTCTATGATTTATTTTTTCGGCAGTTTGTTTTGCTGCACTGTTTCACAAGCCGTGTTTAGTGCCATTCTGTACCCTGACCCCGACTACAGGATTTGAAAAAGGGTATCTAGGATGATTGGATAACATGTGAATTTGTTTATGGTGAAATTTCAGCAAAATCTATGGATGAGAAATGTTTTTTTGGATGAGGAATGTGAAAATGTCATGCAAAAATGACGGCCCAATTAGCGGTTTTCGCGTATTTACATGAACATACATTTTTTGGCGATTTTTGTAATGAAATAGAATCTTTCGGTCACATTTGAGATCACAACTTTTGTTTTAAAAACAAAGGAAAACAAAGCAATTAAATACATGATTTCCGGGCATTTAAAATTGGCATAACTTTCTTATTACTGGGGCTATTAGGATGAATGAGGCATCAAATTATCTTCATCACCATGAAGCGGCACTTAACTGGAAGAAGAAGGAAGAAGAAATAAAAGGTCTTATCAAGCTTTGTTTGATGGCATAAAGCAAGAGCTTACATTTTGAGATTTAATTTTTTTTTGTAACATCCCTACAAATTTCTTTAACCACATTCCAGAAGGGAAGTTTTTCTGAATTGTCTGTTTATCCCCAATTTCATAATATTAGTTTAGACCTAACTTTAGAGGTCTACACACATTAACCCGTAATTAACATTAACATTAACCTGTAAGGCCGTAACCACTTATTTTCTTAAATAACGTATAGATTATTGATGCACTTCTGTAAAAACCCAACCGCACACACACACACACACACACTTGCTTTGGCATTGATTTTATAATGTCAACAAAAAAAAGACAACATGACACAAAACTTCAAAAGACAAAATCAATGCATTGCAGTGCACAGCCCCAATTTCTGGTGAAAATGACTCTATTCTCGCTCAGATTTTTATCAAATTGCTGGCATATTTACTATTTAGAATATAAGGAATAATATCGAATCGGGAACTTACAGCAATACACAAGAAAATCCTTGTCAACTTCAAATCAAATGTTAGCTTCAGTATACACAGCTCACAGCTCACACTCATGCACTCACAGCTCAGTGCACGGTCACAGACATGACATAGGCCTCCCCATCATACAACCTAGCACGAATGTATACGTATGGGACCATTCGCGTACATAGCCTACACGGAAATTCAATGAACTTCAATTTCCCTTCCTCCGTCCTGGAAAACTGATACAATCAACAGATAAATGGGTAAGAAAGAAGAAATATCTGATAGAAAAACTGAACATTGAATTTTTATTACCTGTCACAGCCTTTTTTAGAGTGAGTATGGAGCAATGAACTGAAATTTAAGAGGTGTTTTTGACGAGCTAAACAAAGGCAGAGCTGTGTACGTGGGCCGTGCATGGGGGGAGGGAGCTGAGCTGAGTTACCAGACGATATCTAGCCGAGGCCGAGCCCGGTCGAGGTCCGGTGATGGCGCATGATGGAGAGGGCTAGGAGGACTAGATCTAGGGGCGCTAGTTCAGAAGTCTATCCAAACTTTCACCCGTAGCTCCGGCGTGGAGATATCCTACTAAAACATACCCAGAATGAAGCAAATAGGCCTAGATTCTTCTAGGTCTAGTATCTACATCAAATAAATGTCCAAATAATGGTCATTATTTGAAAAATTGATGTTTTTTACCTGGCTTTGTGTCAATTTTCACATCTTTTTCAGAGTATTTTTTTCCTAAAAATGAAGACTTAGATCTATAAAATCTATGCACTTTCTCACGGGATTCACGGCAATACAATTGCATACCGTACCGAAGGTGGGGTACGGGCGCGTGCGTTTGTTCAGTTAGCGACAGTAAACTAAGATTACAGTCGCTAACATAATCGTGTGTGCGTGAGAGCGTTTTCAGACCCTTGAAATGCGAGACACTTGGTAGCTCTGTGGAGGTGGTGTGGATCTAGTGGTCAAAAATGAAAAAGTGCATACACTGTATGTACAAATCTACCGGTCAAGTGTCACACATTATACGTGACGTCACACATTTCAAGGGTCTTCAAAACGCTCTCACGCACGACAAATGCGTGGGCGATATGAAAAAAACGCTATGCGTGTGTTATACCCTCGCGCGCCAAGTCATGAAAATGTCACGCATAGCTGATCTTTGAACTTGGCGTCTCTGTATGTACACCTGTACGCATATACTCTAGTCCACCAATTTAGGCAGCAGTTGATCCGTAAAAGCATCAGAATATATCACCAAAATTCAGGGGAAAATACCACACTTACTTGATCACTATTACTACTGGTCTGTGACTATAAGTACATGTAGGTATGCATGATCTATTTTATTGTATTTTGTTGACATTATATATGACAATTTCAAGCAATACAGAGTGTCTACTTTCATTTTTGCTGAGTGAGGACCTGTCAGTTCATTAAAAAACTTTGCCAAGTCTAAGAAAAAATTGGAGATTTATTTTACAAAACTGGAGAATCACCTGATTTCATACTCTAGGTTACTCTCCGGTAACTCTGTCCTTTCATTGTATATTTTCCATGGCACTTCTTTGGCAGGTGTTTATTTCTGAGCTGCATTATTGGTGCCTTTGGGTAGCTGCAAAATGGACTACCTTGACTACGACAACCAAAACCAGCCCTCTGGGCAACAACAGCAACCTCACAGCACAGCATCCATCCCCCACCATCCCAACCACTCCCACCACCAACCGGCCATGAACCACTCCTTCCCGCAACACCTGCAACTGCAGCCTGTCTCGCAGCAACACAGTGCTTACCTGCAACCCCACCACTCTCAGTCGTCTGCTGCTTCCACTGCTGCCAGTCCTCACCTCCAGCACCTGCCGCCACCTCAAGGAGGGTTGTCAGTGCCCTTCTTGCACCATGGGGCTCCGCTTGGTTTTGCATCTGTTCGTGGAGGAGAGGGAGGAACGGAGAGGAGTATCTTGCACCGGGATGTCCCGCCAATATCCCACCGAGTACAAGTCAGAGGCGTTCCACAGGTTATGGAAAGCATATTCAGTTCAGTGATTCAAGAAGGTGAGATCTTAAAGCCACACTGTACTACGGTACTTGTAGCTACTTGCTCCCTCTATATAGAAAACTTCCCCAATCGGTGCCTGTTGGTCCCCCATGATCCTCTTTTTCTTATGTTAATTGAGAGCTGGGTTAATGAGGTAGCCACCTGTCAGTGACCTTGCTGTGTGGTCTAAACCCTTTTAACTGAACTATCACAGCCGGCTTTAAATTTAAGACATCAAACTTTCCCGCATTTGGAGGGAGTCTCACGCCACCATGCTCATTCTCCCGCCGTCCCAATAGCTCGTAGCGGGAGACTCCCGCCAGCACGCATTTCCTCCCGCTCTCCCGCTTCGATGTAGAATCTCCCGGTTTATGAAAAAACCTCCCGCCAAACATGGTAAGCACGTCCAAAAACGAGACCAAAAAAAAATGTGCTCTTAACCCCCCCTCCCCTTCCCCCTGCTTATTCAGCGGCTGGCTGAGTCATTGCGAAATTTTCGGCGCGATTTTCAAATTTTTAAACGCCCCCCCTTGAAAAAATCCTGCGTACGCCACTGCCGTTGAGCAAAACAAAAATTTGCATAGGACCTCCCTCAAAGCCGTTCCCCAAAGTTGACAGCCCTGTATATATAAATTGAGGCTTTAATATAAATGCCAATTTTTTTTATGGTGAGGAGGAGATGGGGAGGAGAGGGAAGGAGGAGGGGGGGGGGGGGGGGATGCATGAGGAGGGGAAAGAGTTGGATATCATTTTATATCAGTGATGTTCATGATGACAGATGGTCATAATAAAGCAGTTGGTAACAAGGAGGAGAAGAATAATGATGATCATGATCAACTAATTTTATTAGATTTGTCAAATTGTTAATTTCATAAAATACAAATACATGTACATGTAATAATAATGATAATAATAGCAGGTTCTTGTATAGCACTCATGTCTGTCAGACTTGACACTCCGGGCGCCCCCGATTATGACCCTGGCTTTAGCACCGCTGCCATTACAGCGCTCTAGCATTTTAAGGAATTAATTCCTGCCAAGTACCTATTTACATCACCTGGGTTAAGTGTGGTAAATGTAGATCAATGTCTTGCCAAAGGACATTGGTGCTGAGGCGGGACTCAAACCCGGATCTTGTGATCGACAGTCCAGTGACATATCCACTCGACCATGACACCTCTACTATGTAGATTTTAATAAGATAGTGTTTAGCAATTGTTCAATCAATCCCTTAATCCATCAACAGGTGTCGACCCCTCCGTCGGCCATCTTGAACCTCCCGCTCCAAGTTCTCTGGAACCAGAACCATCCACCCCACAGCAACTCCCCTCACACTCAACAGCCACCCCTACTCAGCCCACCACTACCCCTACTCGGCCCGTCGCCACCCCCACCCATCCCAGCAGGCCTCCTCTCTCTGAGAAGCCAGCCAGGATCATGGTCAATGATGGGAACCTACAAAGGAATGCTGGTCAAAAACTTGGAAAGACAGGAAATGCCAAGGTATAGATAAAGTACATTGTATACTATCCTAAATGTTAAAGAAAACACCAAGTGCTATTACGGGTACTCATGTAATATTGTGAAAGAAACTACCTAGAAATGAATCTGATTGGTTAATTACGTAGGTCAAGGAAACAATTGTTTGTGACGTTTGACGTCATTTACACAGTGAAAAGCCCTGGAGAAACATGTGAGCATGTGGAACACATAGCAATGTCACATCAGAATTTGATACATGTGTAAAGTGTAAATATTTCAAGTCAGGGACCAATGCCCCCACAACTTCATGGATACAATTCCACGCAAGCTTGAGCTCTATAGAAGACATTCCTAAGATCATAGAGGTGTCGTGGTCGAGTGGATATGTCAGCGGACTGTTGATCACAGGGTCTGCGGTTCAAGTCCCATCGCGGCACTAATGTCCTACATTTGCCACTCTCATGTACATGTAGGTGTTAAGTGGGTACCTGATAGGATGCGAAAGCTAATGTGGTTTGATTAGCAATGGCGGTTGTAATATGGCGACTGGCTGGAACGCTCCCCAGGGAGTGGAGAATGTGCATACCTTGTGTCCGGGTAAGCCTGAATCCGATGACCGGGGTAATAATATATATCTGTAAAGCGCTTTGAGAGGTCCTGCGGTCCTAAAATGCGCTATATAAGGACGAACTATTATTATTATTATTATTATTATTATCATGATTGTGAAAGAGCAGGTGGAATCAAGAAGGGAAACTCCATGTCGACTGCTGCCATCACATGATGATACCAGAATTGATTTGATTTGATTTGATTTGATTTATTTATTTCTGTTTGATTTTCTTTTTCTTTTGCATTTTTACAAATATATAACAAACAAATATTGCAAATTTACACATGACAAAAGAATATATGTAGAATAATGTAAGGCTGGCTGTAACTAATCGAAAACATCAAACAGGAGGGTTGAGAAAATAATCAAAACTTGATAGTATGACTACCCTTAAAGGATACACAATAATACAAATATGGAGGAACAAAATATTGGTAAAAGGGGAAAAAGACAGAAAAAAAAGAAGACAAAAAGAAAGAGGGGATGCACATCAATATTCACAGACTTATGTGGTAGTTGGATTTCAATAAAGATTTTTTTTAAAAGAAAAGAAAATGCAAATTTGAATATTGAGTGGCCAACTTGGGATATAATAGAATGAGAAGACTCGCGAGGTTCGGACAGTATGAATGTAAATGTAAGATCAGCCAGCTGGTTTTAAGCCTGGGTCTGCGAGTCAGTTTTGATGTGCAAAAGGTCATAATTTGTCATAACACCATTACTGGGTGTACAGGTCTGGCAAATAGCAAATCCCTGTAGTCCCATCAAGAAATACCCCCTAGTCCCTCAGAGAGTCTTTGGATGAGGAAAATTTAAGAAAATGAATTGACCACATGGCGCCAGAAAATGCATAAGGCCTGTTTGTCTTCGGTGTTGAATTCCCCATGAGAGCCCACTACCATTCGTCTTTAACTTCTCTTTAAGATTGATATCATATGTCTGTTTTGTGTTCCCCTCACAAACATGTGGAAACTTGGTAGAAGCCAATGCTGCATGCGATCCTGCCAGAAGGCTTCAGCTACCAGTTTGCAGACAAGGGTGGTCGCACCATCCAAGGGGTGGTGGTGGACCGTTTCATCCAGAAATCTCAGTGGTTCGGTCCTTTCAACGGCACCTTGCTGGACGAGGAAGCCGGTCAAGACATTGGCTCAACCTGGGAGGTAATATGTGAATTGTATAATTAGGGTGCGTTCAATCGACACTTTTTCACCCTAGAATCACTGCTTTCAAATATGTTTAGTTTAAAACACGGTTGCGTTCAAGCGATTTTTGGTCGGTCGTAAAAAATAAACGTGTTAAAAAACACAATCATGAAACGCTGAAAAAGTTTTGTATTGTGATATTGCAAAAATCGCTTGAATGAGGAGGGAATTCTCAATCATGATTCTATGACGTCATTATCGTGGCCTGTTCCGGTTTGACTGACAGTCCACCGTTAACACAGACAGAAAGCACGCGGCGAAGTTGACCTATACTTTCTGGGTCAAACTGCACAGTGTGATGAGCAGCGGCTGGGCTTGAAATGAGCAAGAATCAGCGTTGATGAAAAGTCGCTTGAACGCTCTTCCGCAGTAACCGTGTTTTTTAACAGCGTTTTGAATCTTGATTCATGTTTGTGATTCTAGCTTCAAAAAATTGCTTGAACGCAGCCTTAGAGTCAGAGGTGCAGGCGCAGGACATGTGCCCCACAAGTTTTTTTTTAAAAAGTTGAAGAGGCAGAATAATTATAATAATGGTAATAGGTCCACTTGTATAGCAGAACTACTACATGTGTATGTTTATAATCTACCACGCTTAATACAAAGTGTCAGTAGCATCTTCTTAAGCTGCCATTTATTTACACGTATGGAACAAACACACATTAAATCGCTGCTATTACCTTAAAAGGGATTGGGTAACTTTGTCTCAGATTCTCAAACAGAATCCTTGATTTAGCTCATGCTGCAATGATAATTATAAACCTTTAGGTCAGTAATAGGAACCCCATGACTTTTACAAGTCGATCCGCCTGTCTGATTATCAAGATATTTGTGATTGGAAATCGAAACCAAATCTTGCGGTTTCCTAAAGGTTTTCATAACACTACAGTCTATTGGGGAAAATTAGTATGGTAAAACCGGTCACTCAAAGATTTTTACTTTTTTGAGGCACTTTTTGATCATTTTGAAGCGCAATTATTTTAGGGCTTAAATATTACACCATATCACAAACACTGATAGCACATAGGGCCGTGCATCTCAGATTTAACATTGTTAAACGATGCCTTTAATGACAAAAGGGTGTGTTCTCTCGTGTTATTTTTCAGCTGTGTCTCCAAGGCAACGTGTGGTTCTACCTGGACGGTAAGAACAAAATCCACAACAACTGGTTGTACCACATCAACCCTGCAAGGACCAGAGAAGAACAGAACCTAGAGGCCTTCCAGCACTACGGGGACATCTACTTCAGAGCCCTGGACAACGTCCAACCCGGTACGGAACTCAAGGTCTTCTACTCTGATGAATACATGGAGAAGATAGGATGTAGCGTGAAGCTGGAAGATTTGGGATATGATAAAGGTAAGTGGCTAATGTTATTTGAAAGAATGGTTTGGAAAATCTTGCACTGACTGGAAGAATCGATGGAAGGAGGAGTAGGAGTACAAGGAGGATTTTGTGGATGAGTAGCATAAGGAGTGGGATTTCTGAAAGTGGAATCGATCTTGGGGAGAATAAATTACTTCATAGAATATGGGACAGAGAGTTGTGGTATTCCATGGTCACCAACATCTCAGGACATGGCACGTAAAGAAGAAGAAGTGGCTAATAGTGCAGACACACTCTCATAAAACACATTGCTGTAAGAGTCATGTAAAGCTGTGTATCTTGTTTAGGAAGGGACATGGCTGTCGCATGGTGGTTAGTAATAATAATAAAACGGTTCTTATAAAGCGCTTACCACCAAAGTCTCTAAGCGCTATAACAAACAAAATACAATGATAAACAATGACAATACATATGAAATATACATCAATGTGAACAGAGTATGTTAATCATCAAAAGCAATTTTGAATAAATGTGTCTTAAGACAAGTTTTGAATTGGTTAACAGTCTGACAGAATTTGACATTTACAGGTAGTTTGTTCCAAAGTTCAGCAGAAGCTTTGCAAAAAGAGCGATTACCAGAACAAAGAGTTGACACCGAAGTAGACACAAGGTTTAATTGTGAAGATGACCGTAGATTTCTCGAGGGTTTGTGTTCCTGGAATAGTCCTTGCAGATAAATTGGCGTCAATTCATTTTAATAGTTACAGCATCTACGTGACAGGTACATGGTCTATGTGGTACTTGCCACATGACAGACCAAAATGTTACCACATAAACTCAGCCTTTACAATAACAGTGAACCCTACATGGTGCCAGGTCGCATTATGTGGTATTCACATGGCATTTCATGGTAAAGCACGGTGCTAAAGTGGCGTTGTGGGGTGTTTACATGGTCTTACATGGTGTTAAGTGGTGTGATTGTTTACATGGCTATTTTTACGAAAATCAGAAGGCAAGAGTGCATGGCTACTTTGTTGCTTTCATCAAGTGCCTCCGTTACGAAGCCGGAGGCATTATGTTTTCGGGTTGTCCGTCCGTCCGTACGTACGTACATGTACGTCCCGTTCTCGTGATCGCGTTATCTGAAGAACCGATTGATGGATTCCTGCCAAACTTAGGTCATGTATGTTACTTGCAGAGCTGATGATCTGATTACATTTTTTGGGGTCATGAGGTCAAGGTCAAAGGTCATGCGGCTCATTATGTATGCAAAAAAAGCTTGTGATCGTATTATCATTAGAACAGATGGATGGATTCCTGCCAAACTTAGATCATTTATGTATCTTGCAGAGCCAATGAACTGAGTAGTTTCTTGGTTCATAATGTCAAAGGTCATGGGCTCATTATGTATGCAAAAATAGCTTGTGAATGCATTCTCATTAGAACTGACAGATGGATTACTATTTAACTCAGGACATCTTGCAGAGCCAATGAACTGAGTAGATTTTAGGGTCATGAGGTCGAAGATCAAAGGGTCATATATGTATATGAGAAATTGCCTGTAATCACGATATTCAGAGAACCTGTTAATGGATTGCAATTGAACTTGAATTTGAAAAATTTCTTCTGTTTTGGTTTGTAAAATTGCTCTATGACGGAGGCATCATTTTCGAATGCGCGCAGTCGAAGTTCCATCTAGTTATTTTTATTATTAGTCGATAGAATACATTGATACAGTGTGAACTGTTGGACCACATGATATGAAACGCCTATTTTTGAGGAAATAAGATTTTCCTTACACCTCTTTTATCCTGTGTCACATTGGTTCTTTCTCTTTTTCCATTTTTTTCAGAGGCTGACTGTTTCAGATGTCACCGGTGTGAAAGAACGTACAATACATCCAAGAGCATGCTGCGGCACTTCAAGTACAGTCACTCCAAGGAGGACCAGACACCAAGCAGGAGTAGCAATCTCAAGGAAAGGATCAGCAAGAAGGCCAGATTGATGGAATCACTGAAACAACCCTTGGAGGGACGGAGTCACCTGGAGCCTCCAGAGACATCATGGAGTATAAGGGAACTGCTTTGTGACAAAGAAGAACATTTTGTTTGCGTCACGTGCGGCAAGCATTTTCCGACAAACGGTCGTCTCAAGGCCCATGAACGGTTCCACGAGAGCACCTGCGAGAAGTTTGAGTGTGACATGTGCGGTGCTGTCTTCAAGACGTCACTTTCGCTGATGAGGCACAAGAAGATCCACACAGAGATCCAGTTTAAGTGCACCTTGTGCTTCAAGAAGTACACCTGTCGCTCCCACCTGTCCCGACACATGCATACTGCGCATGGGTTCGAGAGGGTGAGAGGGAAAATCCTGTGCATGGGTTGTTCGAGGAAGTTTCTCCTGGAGGATGATATGTTGAAACATCTCAAGAGTTGTAAGGGGCTTCAGACAGTGATGAAGGAGAGAACCCAGGTATCCTCGGAAGACGATGACAACGGTACCTCCAGCAGAGGTGAGGAAGGGTTGGACCCAGACGAAGATCAAAGGAACACGGCTAAATCATTGGAAAGGCATGGGAAGGTCCATGCCGATCGGGAGAGTGAGTGTACCTTATGCCACAAGCATTACAGCTCTCGTTCGCACCTGTCCCGACACATGCATACTGTACATGGCTTTGAGCGGGTGAGAGGGAAAATTGTCTGCATGGGGTGTTCGAAGATGTTTTGTCTGGAAGAGAATATGTCACAGCATCTTCGGCGCTGTAAGGGACTCCGGGAGCTCCTCAAGAGGAAGAAGAACCTACGCAAGATATCAAGCAACTCTGATGATGATGATGATGATGGGTTTATCCCCAATGAGGAAGAGGAAAGCTGTGGAGTGTTGAAAGCATTGGAAGGTCCTGATAGGGCTATGGGTCAGTCAACTATGGGTGATTTGAACGAGACGGAAACGTTTGGTGTTGAGACAAACAGACAAGGAGAGGATAGTAAAGGGAGGGTGATTGATATGTTGGGGGTTCGTTCGTTTCAGGACGCTTCCAAACCCTTCAAGTGTAGCTACTGCACCAAGAGATTCCTCACCAAGAATAGGTTGCTTCGCCACAAGCACAACAGGCATCCTAAAAGCTCCGTCTTCAAATGTGATCACTGCGACCAGACGTTCCCTTACAAGCATCGACTGCTGAAACACCTGCCCACGCACAACAAGGACAAGCGGTACAAGTGCCAGCTCTGCCCTCGCAGCTTCGCATCGGAGATTGCCCTCTCAAACCACCAGGAGGAGCACACCGACGCAAGGCCCCACAAATGCGAGCCGTGCATTAGGGCGTTCCGGACACGAAAGCTCCTTCTGAGCCACAACAGAAGGATACATGCTGTCCGGGAGATGCGCTTCGCTTGCTCGTTTTGCGACAAGAAGTTCCCGGAGAGGACCAACCTCGTCCTCCACGAGCGCCGTCACAAGGGTATACGACCCCATGTTTGTTTGGCGTGTGGGAAGGCGTTTACGAGTAAACATTGTCTCATTACTCATATGAGGATACATACTGGCGAGAAGCCTTTCAAATGTAACTTATGCGGGAAATGCTTTCCGTTAAATCATCATCTTGAACAACATCTGATGTCTCATTCTCGTCAGGGAAATGCAAATTACGCGGGAAATGCTTCCCCGTAAAGGTAATACAAAGTTTTGGGATGGCGTCATGAATTTGGTTAAAAATGAACATATTGGATCCTACAATATTCAGTGATCATTGTCGCGGTTGAAATCGAGTCAAAAGTTATGAAATTGTTAACTCTTTGCCCGCTTCGTTCGGCTAGCGGAACATACAGCGGGCTGCCAACTTCGACTCAAGTCACATTTCATTCACAATACACACGGAACGCATTTAATTCTATTGTACGCACACACACACAATAGTAACGCGTGCTTCGCATTGTATACACATCACACTTCATTGCACCGCTTTCGCAGACATTGTTTACATTGACATTTTCCAAGAAAAATTGAGTTTTTGAAACTGCTTTTGCAAATATTCTGATGAGCTAGGATGGCCCCTATTAGGAGGAGACGGGACTTCTTCACTGCTGATCAGGTACGAGAACTTGTGATGGACCCTGTTCCAACAGCCGACTCTGATTCAGAGGAGAGCGAGACTGACTCTGACGAGGAAGATGAGCCTGGTCCCACACGTACACTTTTGCGTAATCCCACAGAACATGATAATGGCGTGGACATCAATCACGATTCAGACAGCGAGTTTGAAGAGGAAATTAGGGATGATGTGTCTCTATCTTGTTCTCACTCTCATTATCTCAACCTGCCTCTGTCTTTCTCTGTCTGCCTATCTGTCTTTCTCTCTCCGTGTCTCTTCTTATTTATATCCCTATCTGCCTGTCTCTTTCTTCTTCCCCTCCCCCTCTATCTCCATCTTCTCACTCTCATTTTCTGTATCTGCTTATATCTCTTTCTTTCTCTCTCTCTCTCTCTCTCTATCTCTCCCTGTCTCTTCTTATTTCTTTCCCAATCTGCCTGTCTCTACGTTCTTATTCTCTTTCTTTCTCTCTCCCTCTCTCTGTCTACCTCTTGTTATAATGAACATGTCAATATGAGACTACATATGTAGACGAATATATTTTATTCTTATTTATTATACATCAGCTTTCTACAATTCATAACTTAGTACATGTTTCAAGCATACATTATGTTCTTGGCTTGCCTTATTAGTGTAGAAAATCAATAAGTTCTTCTATTCATTTCTTTCAATTCTAATAGCTTGCACAGCCTTGCAAGTAATAATAGAATGTTACACCATCTTACCTACAGACACAATAAAGGTCATCAAAGTACAATCAAGAGACAGGAAGTCTATTCAAAAGTACCCAGGGTCAATTTCGATAGGAGATTAGTTCATTGTCGGCTTACTCTTTATTCAATCCTAAATTACCAGGCTCATTGTGACCTTCAACACATGAATTTGGTATGTAGTGAAAGCTCATGAATACATCTTTTCAATGAACTAACTCAGGACATAAACCTCCATAACAAAGTATTAGATATAAGAGGTATAGTATACCCTTCTAAACGAAAACTTGGATACAAAATGTATAGTTGATAATCTCAAAATTTATGATAATATACATTACAAAAATGATACCATTGGCAAGACTATTAATTTCTATACAATATTGCTACACAAAGTTTTTCATTACAGTACACCAATCAAAAGTTATTGCGAGTTGAATAAGCATAGTCCATGCAGAACCCCTCCTAAGGTGGCACCCTAAAAACAATGTGGCACAGGGGGGATTGTGTACGTGGCGGGCAAAGAGTTAATAATAAACTTTTTATGTTGTATAGCTCCCTCTCAAGACTGATATTCCTTTAGCTATAAAAACAATGACTCTTGACTCCAATCCACCAATTTGCTATTCCCGTTTGGAAATTATATATCACAACTGCATATTTCTGAGATTTTCATGGTCGCAGCTACTATGAAATGGCCTCAGGCGCTATTTGAAATATTTGAAATTTACAGGGAGCACCAATAAATGTTTATTATTCTATTTTTTCGAAAGCAGGGGGGTGTTTCAAAAAGATTTTAAGTCAAAGTTAACTCTAAGTTGGACTTAGATATTATGGAGAGCCATTTGTAGCCTTATAATGAAATATATTTAAAAGCAAAATTTCAAGTATTTTAGACTTTTCATAAATTCCACATCAAGAACATGAAATCTCCCATGATAATAGAAAATATGAATGACTTGAATCGACATTGTATGCCTTTTAAAATAACTTTTACAAAATATTTTCAAGGATGCTAACGGCTTTACCTAGTTGTTAAGTCAAACTTAGAGATAAGTTCAACTTAGGATCTTTGTGAAACACCCCCAGAGAGCTGACCATACCTCAGATATTACCACTATATCAACCCATACCTCCCACAAACACAAACACATATACCTAAAGGCACTGATTGCTTTTTGCATTGAATATGAACGTTAGTGAACTGGAAATACAAATGTTTTAATGGCATATGACATGCTGAAAGTTTTGTTTACAAAAATATAATTGCTTTTAAGTGTCAAAGGAAAAATGTGCTTGTTTCCTTGTTTTCCGAGTGCATTTCCTAAATGCATTTTAGAGGTTTATAAAAACCTAGTAATCTGCAAATGTCTCTTCTTGGAAAAGTACATGTTTTTCAACAAGTTTTTCGTTTTTATTTGTTTGTTGATTCGTCGGTTGTACTGTGTTTTACTGATATTCCAAACAATATGTTGTCACAGCCCTAGAACAAATGTACATTTGTAGTTCCATTTATGTGATGTGTGTACATTTCTCTAAGTGTATTTAGATACTGAGTGGCTTCAGCGTCAATGGTGTGAATAATTTCTGTGTATTTATCGATTTTACATCTTGCCATCTTAAAACATTGCCTAATGGACGTTATCATTCAGATTAAAATGATGATCTATTTTGTATCATACAATTATAATCTTGTCATCTGATAAATATGACTAGTTATGCATTAAATATTAGTTATTGAGAGATTGAAATAGAGAGAGAAAGATGAGAGTTCAAGGTAATTTAGATCAAACATGAGGAGGAGGTGGGGGGGGGGGGGTGTTCCATGATATCTATTCTGTAGACCTACATAGAAATGCTATTCGGTCAATTACTACACTCCATTTTGTTATTTCAATTTGTATTTGTATGTGGACTACATGCAGAGGCTGAAACAATATGAAATTGATTTTGTTAATGATTGTTGTCACCCCTGTTGTCTAGAGGTCCTCAGATAGTTATTTATTGTATTTCAGGACACCAAAAAACATAACACTAACAAAGTCGAGGTGGGCCGAAAGGTAGGATGAGGGGGGCGAGAAACTAGCATTGTTTGTCGCAATGCATGAGATGACTGGGGTTTAGGTGGTGGTCGGGGTGAGGGTGAGAGAGAGAGACAGAGAGAGAGAGAGAGACAGAGAGACAGAGAGAGACAGAGAGACAGAGAGAGAGATGGAGAGAGAGAGAGACAGAGAGAGAGAGATGAGTGAAGGGGAGAAAGAATGAACAAGGAATAGTGAGTGAGATAAAAGAAGAACGATTTGAGAGAGAGAGATGAAGGAGAGAGGGGAATGACTGACAAATAAAGAGTGAGGGGATAATAGAGAGAGAGATGAAACAGAAAGGAAGAAATTTGATAAAAGAAGAAAGGAGAAGAGAATGAATGAAAGGGGAAAGTGTGTGTGTGTGTGTGTGTGTGTGAGAGAGAGAGAGAGAGAGAGGTAGTGGTTAAATGAAAAGTGAGGTGGATGAGTGGTCGGCGAAGGAGAGGGAAAGGAAGTTTGAATGATAGAAAGGACGAGGGAAATAAAGAAATAGAGAAAAAAGATGAGGGGTTGGAGGATCTACATGGCAACGAAGAAGGTTGAAGGAATGAGGGAGAACGAGAGGGGGGGGGGGGAGTTGGGAAGAAGGTGGGACCAACTCAATGTCATAATAAAGGTTTTTCACCAAGATACTCTGATTACCAAGAAAAACCGGACAAAAGACCAACAAAAAACTATGTATATGTATATATTAAAGACGTATAATAGCTTCGCCTGACTTTTCTTACATTTTGAATAAAATAATACAGTCTACTTTGGATAACGCAACTGTGACAAGGCACTGTATGACTTTGAAATCGAAACAAAATCATGAGTTGACACTTACCAATAAAATTCAAAGAAAGGGCACTAACTTCCATCGACCGTGCATGGTACCAGGTCATTGGCGCAGTTGCGTGAAGTAGAATGCTGCCATCTACGGCTTATCCTCTATCACCCACCAGAATAATTCATTTTTTCCCCCTCGTCGATAATGACCAAAAAGTACCTATATATTTCGTATTCCTTTCGTATCTCGTTCTATCGATAGGGGACAGGCCCGTAGCCAGAGTTTGATTTTTTTTTGTTTTGTTGAGGGGGGGGGGGGGGCACATACATGTCATTGATCGACGTCCTGGGGAGGGGTCTAAAAAAGTTCAACCGATCTTGGAAATTTATTTCCAAGCAAACCTAGGGACACAAGCAAACCTAATCCCACTGGCGCACGGATAGGGGGGGGGGGGGGGGGGGGGCAGTTTTCCCCAAAATAAAATTCAAATGTGGTTTATTTCCCCGGTTTATTTCTAATTCGATACCAGTGATTTACAAAATGTTGCTGAAATGACATGATTTTCCGGGATGTTTTCTCAGTTTTGTTATTAAACTTTTTTATGCGTTTGTTGGAAAATTACAAATTCCTAAATTCACAGTCAGGCAAAAAGTATGCTTATTTAGAATCTACGTGTCAGGGCCCATGGAACGGCGGGGCTCGGAGAGCTCGAGCCCCCTCCCCCCCCCCCCCCCCCCCCCCCTCACTTTGTAAAACTTCCCGCGAGGCCTGCATGTAACATATAAGAGTGGTGGAGAAGCGATTTTTTTTTTCCTCCCCCACCCCACCCCAAACTTTTTAGCTCATTACCATAACCACACGCCTATAAAACCTAAAATTCCCCATACATTAGACGAAATAAGAATTGGAGTCCCGGTGCAATTACTGGGGAGCCGAAAATAATGTGGGATCACTCCAGTGGTCTGTCACAGGCTAGGTAAAATACGACAACCACTACAATCTTATTCCTGACATGGGGTCGGTCTGGTGGTCAGATGGTCGCGACCCGCAACAACCACACCCTTTTTATTACACAGGGGCGTCGCTAATGGGGGAAGCGGGGCACCCCC